TTCCCATATTCTATAATTCAAGATCACGCCAAGATAGGATGTGTTCGAGATCATTGGCAATTTGAATGTTGAATCTGGCAAAACAAGGTAGAGTCTTATTTTGGGGTGATACATCCATTTCTTGATGAATAGAGGTATCCCGCGATCCATAGCCCTGAATAAAATCACGCTTATATCGAGGTTGCTCCTGAATATGTTCGAGGTCTGACAGGGCGGCGAGACCGTCGGACAACGTTTTGAATTGCCACCGGAGGTACACGTCGTTTGCAAAAGTTATCATGTGATCATGCAATCAATATTAAGAGAATCACGCGACCAGGTCTACCAAAATCAAGTGCATACAGAGAATCCAGAGGATTGGATAACCCTGTCCCATAATCGTATGATTGATGGAATCATCAGGCCATGGGCCGCTGCATCCTTGCTGTGCACTTGACGTCTGTCCCTGACTTGCCTACAATATTGGGATATTCTAAGCAGACAATTAACGGTGTCCCGTTAGGGAGGTAGGCATATAAAGGCAGATATTTGAGAGAATCAAGCACATAACACATCAATTATTGGGTAACAAAATGAGAAGTTATCTTATAAACCGGGTGTTGCAGGCAAATCGGTCCAAGTGTTTTCCGTTTCGTGCTTGGTTTGCCCGGTTTGGGCAGCAGGCGCAACCACCCTGTCATCCCTGGAGCAGAAATTGTGGAAGAGTCCGGCAGAGATGATATCTTGGTCAATATATTGATCGTATTCCTTATATTTTCCCTGTTTGGCATGATCGATTCAGCTTAGGTATTAAAGAATGTGATCTATAAGATCGCCAATAGCGTGCGTGTGCTCTTCATGACATCGAATGAAGACGAGATTGTTGATGAGCGCGTTGGAGAGAATAACCTTGAAACGCGCCATGGCACGACGGCGAATGACCTGGTCCTTGAGAATGATGAAGAGATGTCCGAATGCACAGAAGGCGAAAAGAAGAGATGACGCATGCTCTACGACGCCGTCTTCCAAGAAGAAGGATAATCGGAATGGCGTGATATCAATCGCCAATTATGGACAGAAAATATATCCATAAATATGAGATCCCATGTCATCCTGTACATACAGCCAGAAGATCGTAGGAGGGAATATTTCAAATTGATTTTGGGAATTGAAAGCGAGAATCTGAACGATAAGAAAGTCAAGCAATGGCACCGCTTCTTAAATTCCCATTTCCTATTAATAGTGAAAATCCATATGGGAGTGCGTGCGCCAGAAGGATCAACAGATCGCGATGTTTCGTGCCTCTTTGGATATCAAATGAAAATGTCATGCGAGAAGAGCAGCTCGCGGATCCTCCCAAAGAAATCAAGTCAAAATTCGCAAAAAAGAAGGCATTAATTGATAAGAAGCAATAGACCGGCATCACCTACGATGTGGCACAAAACAAAATCACGCAATTCAAACCAGAGCAGCACAGTGCCTAGCGCTTTGTCAACACTTATAAGAGCCGAATATAAATGTATCCGTCTTAATTATTGCATATATATTTATCATTTGTAAATTACATTTAATATTAATGAAATATATATTCCGTTTTTTCGGCCATTTCACCCCCCTTTGATTAAGTAAAATATAATCCCAAATACATTCCTTTGCATAAACAAAAATACGAATTTCGATAACATATTATTCCAACGAAACACCATAAATAAAATATTTACATTATTTTCTCCCATAATCAATAATCAATTATGTTCATTAATAATTATATATAATATAAATATAAAATAAACCGATATTTCATTAAATTTCATTAAATAGTTATAAATAATTCGATATTTAAACAACATAACAATAACAATATTAATATATGTATACATTTATATATATATGGGAATTAATCTAAATTCCTTTATCCGGGATCCGTTATTTTCGCCAAAAAAAAAATTATTTTCGCCAAACTTTCGCCTTCCTGCGTTTTATCTTTCGCCGAAGTACGTTGTATTTATGTGTGGCATATATATTGTGTTTTGTTCACGTCAATGGCTTCTTCTTCACTAACAAACCCAAAATAGAAATTTCATTGCTTGTCAGCATGGGTCTTCTATTTAACTGTTAACACCCTATACGGCTCTTTTGTTTCTCCTAGGTGTCAGCAAGAATCAAAATTGCAAGAATCACTATAATAGCCGATCATTCAAATTTACTCATAATGGGCTAGGGGTCAGATATGGCAAGGTGAATTTTCGCCAATCTTAAGTTAAATTTTCGCCAAACTACGGGGTAGAATTTTGGGATAAAGCCACCCCCCAAAGTAAAAGCAAGAATAATGGTAGTAGTAGTAGTAGTAATGGTAATGGTAGTGGTAGTAGTAGTGGTAATGGTAGTAATAATAGTAGTGGTAATAGTAGTGGTAGTGGTAGTAATAGTGGTCGTAGTAATAGTACTAGTAATAGTAATAGTAGTAATAATAAAAGTAGCAGCCGCACCAGCAGCAGGTAATTTAATTTCCACAATTCATCTAGCTTCTAAGTTACTACCACCAGCTATACAGAAAACAAATAAACATTCATACAAAAATACATATTTAATCTTTCGCCAAATCTTTCGCCAAACAAAAAATTATTTTCAAAAAAACTTTCGCCAAATGAGATTTTAATATATTCCGGATCATCGTCATATTCACTGCTAACTAGGACCTTTAGATCGACAACCATATGTATAATTTAAAAATATATGTATTTCATCCGATTAATATATATATATATATATCAAAAATCCTTTTTCATTTAATTAATAAGTATTTTATTCCAAAAATATATAAGATATTGTATGTCATCCCTTCCTTCCCTTCCTTCCCTTCCTTCCCTCCCTTCCCTCCCTTCCCTCCCTTCCCTCCCTTCCCT